TATCATTTCTGACAGCTGGTAGTGGGCGTACGTTACCTTGCCTGGCAAGCTATCTTTTAAAATATTTTTGTCTCTTTGAGCTTGGTGTATATGTATGTATATGAATTTTTCACACGTTTGTGTCAAAAACTCAGTTGTTTCTGCTGTATAGTTCAAAAAAAGGCACAGATTTCAGAATTTTCATATCTTCAATTTTTAACATTGACCTTTGGAAGGATCAAAGGTCATTGACGTTGGCTATAGATTAATACCTTCATATTTGATGTCTAACGTCTACTTCCGATTTTACAACCTTCCAATGACAGAAATGTCATAACTTTAGACTGTTCTGGCAATGTGACCTAATTAATCAAGGCTGTTGATTTTTTCAGAGTCTCTTGTGATTTGCCACATAAGCAAAATCCCACTCTGTGCCATGTGGTTCTAGTCGCGCTAATGACTACAAGATAGCAATTGAAAAAATCGACAATTTCGACTTTTGTCGCTGACTTTTTCAGTTCCAATTTTTGAGTTTTTTAACCTTTTTTCTAACTTCTACAATTCTATTTCGATCAATCTGAAAACTTACAGAATGATAGACACTTTCATTGCGAACATAAACTAATTTTCAAAATTTTGATATCACTTCCGGTTTTGACGTCATTCGCTTCTAAATTATAAAATTCAACTTTAGGAATTTTGAAGATATTTCAAAAATTCTTTTTGCAATATGTTACAAATGTCCAAAATTTCAAAGGCTCCTTTTTCGTGACCATGACCTTTGGTTACCTTGTGGCCTGAACAAAATTTGTTGCACTTGATGATATCTATCTAGTGATATACTCATTTGTGCTGTGCAATGTTTATTCCGGTTTTATAGCGGATTGAAAATTACGATTTTTATCTTTAAAGAGCTCTGACACGTGACCTAATTTACATACACCAAAAATTCTTATTGAATCTTACTAGTGTTCATCTGACCTTTGTAATGATATATAACACTAGATATTTCAATTAAAATTGCGCTTTTTAATATTTGAAAATTTTGTACTTTCTTCTATAGTAACTGTGCGTAATTTTCAATAAATCGAATTTGGACCTCAGGGTGTAATCCAATTTGTGTAAATTTGATATCTATGGTATCTAATATCGATTGCTAATAAATTTGAGAACCTATTTTTGAATTTTGATTTTGCTTTTTATTTATTTCCGGTTGAAAAATATGAATACTTTAAAGGGTCGTATATCGTGACCTTGACCATTGGTGATCATGTGACCAGAACAATTTTGATAGCTCTCGAGGAGATCTTTCCAATGGTATATTAACGTTTATTGTACGGTGTTTACTAACGATTTTATCGCCATTTGAAATTGATGAATTTTATCTTGAAAAAGTCGGTTTTCCGCTTGTAATTTTTTTTTGTGGTCTAAACGATAAAGGTAGTTTGCTCCCTTCAACTGTTGTTGAATGCAATGTGAGTTGAAGCGATCTGTCAAATATGCTTTGCGTTTGGGCGATCTATATCCAGTTAATTATGTTACTGTTACGATACTTTGCGGCACAGTTTTAAGCGTAAAATCAAAACTGTTACTCACTGCATCAGAACCTCGCGAAGCCTGTGGATCTGGTTTCTTTTTTTCTTTTTTTTTTTCGATTTCTACACACCTTCCTGTGCTTAACCTTTCAACTATCATAGACCTTCTATATAGGCGACGATGTGCATAAGTATAAATTGGAAGATTTTTGCAAAACCGGAAGTGCCACAGATCAACATGTGTAAAAAGTCGAAAATTGGCTCTAGAAGGCGCATTTTTGCATCGATTTTCTTCTAGTTTTCATTTTTACAATCTTCGTGTAATTTCTGACCTGATAGCACTTGAAAAATTACGAAATTCGAAAATTCGTAGCTCACTTTTTTCGATCAAATTTTTCAATTTTTTTGCAACTTTTTTGCATTTGCATTGATTGATCTGAAACTTTAAATGCAAAGAGACTTTACTAATGTAAATAATATGGTACAGTCAAATTTTGTACGTCATTTCCGCTTTTGAACAGGATTGCGACTGAATTTCAAATCTACTTCCGGTTGAATAACTTCAGGTGTAATTTATGTAGGTCAACCAAATTTAGCTGATTTTTACCAAATGAAATTCTATGGCCAATTTTAGAATAAAATCCAGACCGGAAGTGATACTTCGGCCGCCATATTGAAAAAACACACTTTTGTAAATCGAAAAATGGGGCCTCTATGAAGAAATGGACGTGTATAATTTTGATGTGTATGTAATCTACAATTGATTGCCAACAAAAACTAAGAAGCCGATTTTTGAATTTCGCTTTTCCTTTTTTGCAACTTCCAGTTGAAGTTTTTGCAAGTTCTATCTGGTGACCTTGACCTTTGATGACCTTGACCTTCGTAGGGTCAAAGGTCATTGACCTTGGCTATCATTTGATACTTTGACCTCCGACATGTACTTCCGGTTTAATAGCTATCCGTAAAAAGCCAAATTCGCAACTTTGGACTGCTCTAGCACGTGACCTAATTAACCTAGAGGGTAAATTTTTTCGGTTTCCTAATGTGCTTCCCATGTACTTTACATTTAAAGAAATGTGCCTTAGAGCATTTCAAGAACAAAGGCAATAACTCATACATTGAAACCCCTCTAAAACGAATCCTCTTTAAACCAGATTCCTCTGTAAATTGTACATTTGAAAAGATCACTATATAATATATAGGAGATAAACCCTGGTAAACAGCTACCCCTTTAAACTGCAATTAGGCATCAAAATCAAGTCACAAAGTAGTTAATCTATAGTTAATTTGTCTCTCTAAACCGTCACCTTAATTAGTTCATGTATTAATTGATGTTAATTTGTTAAGGGCATTAAGGATAAATATGAAAGTTTAAATAATAATCAACGAATGCCCTAGCAAAGAGATTTAAGATTGAAGTAAAAAATGGTCAGTTATTATAATGACATCCATATTTTACATCATTAAATTTGGAATTGATTAAGCTCAGGTCATTAACTCTTTTAAAAATCTTTTGATATTTTGATTTCAATGGGGTTCCTCCATGGGTGATAATAAACAATTTCACAAAATTTCATCAAAATCTGTAAAAAATCGTGTCTGCTAGAGTGTTGACTAGCGAAAAAACAATGACAACTAGAGCCACACGTGGCACAGAGTGGGACTTTGCAAATGTAGCAAATTGCAAAAGACCCTGAAAAAATCAACCTTCAACGATAATTAGATCAAGTGCAAGAACAGTCTAAAGTTGAGAAATTTTCATTTTTTTTAGAAGATTCTAATACCAGAAGCAGACTCAGACCTCACAAATGAAAGTATCAGCAGATAGCCAAGGTCAATGACCTTTGATCTTGTAAAGAAGGTCTAAAAAGTCAAGATCAAGAGATATACGTCTTCAAAATTTCAAATTGCACACGACTATACAACCGGAAGTTGACATAGGACAGCAAATATAAAAGTATAAATAGATAGCCAATACCAATGACTTTTGATCCTACAAAGGTCAAGGTCAAAAATTGAAAATTTTCAATTTCCAAAACCTGTTCCTTTTTGTGAACTATGAAGCGGAAACAACCGAAATTCAAAGACAAAGTGGCTCAAAATATGATGTAATTGTATGCAAAGTTCCATTTTGAACAAATGTATACTTTGCGAGTTATGCCCCTGGCCAAAAATGTCAATAATGAGTAATTTAACCCGGATGTGCCTCGCCCACCTCAATATTTTTTGCATAGGTTAATTTATATTCAAAATTTTACGTTATGTTCCAAATGTCAAGCTCCTACATAATACAGGTCAAAAGATAAGGTTAACAAATGTCAACAAAGGTCAAAATCGAAAAATGAAAATATCCAAATGTAAAAAACCTGTTCCTTTTTTAGAACTATAAAGCTGAAACAACTGAGCTGTTAACACAAACTGGCCAACTGTGCGAGTTATGCCCCTGTCTGTAAATGTAAACAATTAGTAATTCAACCCGGATGTGCCACGCCCACATAAGTTTTTTTGTCATAGGTGAATTCATATTCAAAGTGTATTCCAAATATCAAGGTTCTATATCAAATAGATCATAAGATATACATACACGAAGCTCAAAAAGTCGCAAATATTGTTAAAAAAAAACTCAAATTTGAAAAAATCACGAGTTTCAATTTTGCTTTAAAAAAAACGATTGTTATATATAGATATACATACAATAACGAAACTAGGTGTGAAAATTAATTAGTATGCGTTATTGCCCTTCTTCTTGAAAACACGTTCAATTTATAGCCTGTTAACACTCTAGAAGACACAATTCTTAACAGAGTTTGATGAATCTTGCTGTGAGTGTTTGTTATCACCCATGGATGAACACTATTGAAAATCAAAAAATGTTTTATAAAGGTTATTGACCTTGATCTTGAAAACAAACTTTTAATTTCTAGCTTGTAAGCACTAAAAAGCACGATTCTTGCTGGATTTAATATTATTCAGTATCACATTCAATTTTTAGCTTCTAATCACTTAAGAGGCTTGATTTTTACCGGATTTTGACAAAACATGGTTATATTGTTCAGAAACACCCCAAAAGTTCAAAAGAAGTGTAAGACTGAAGGTTGAATATTTCATACTGGTAATTGTTACTGTACGGTACTGCTAAATATTTTTGTTTAAAATCAAAGTGCCAGTGGGCGTATATTACCTTGACTGCCATGGATCCATGGCATAATAATAAGCCTATCATAATGAATAATTTGTCCCCATTCCAAGAAGTTGAATAATGTGAGAAATTAAACAAAATAATACCAGACATGTATTGTGGCATGTCATATAGCAATCAATTCACCAACATACCAGCACTAGTTTTTGATAATTAAAATTTTGCATGCCAGTTTAATTCTGACAGATTCTAAGGTGTGTTTTGTGTTTGGATTAAAATAAGAACTGTGCAGTTACTGCTGCTTGTGGGAGTATGTTACATTGTCTTGCAATCTATTATTGTTATAGGAAACATCTACTTTAGAAGTGAATTGTTTGGTCAAAGTTGATGAATATGGATTCTTTATATATTGGAAAAGTGATGGAAGAGTATGTATAAGTATTATTGTTATTTCTTTTCTTTATTATATACTTGACATAAGATGGGTTTCCTTCTTTTCCTTCAAACAATCAACACTAAACAAAACAGTATGTAATGAAAGTCACAAATACATGTGTGTATAGGTTTTCAATATTGGACTTGGCTTGGCGCAGTGATTTCACTTGTGTAATTCACACAATCTCGGTATCACTTCTCCAATCTAGTTGTAAAATACTGAAAACCTATAGACCCTTGTGTGGTTCGATCGGGGTAGTGAAACACAACTGTTAGTTAGTAAGTAGGCCTATTGTTGGTCAAAATTAAGGTCTGAAAGAAATCGCTAGAGCCTGTTTGTTTACCTGTTTGTTCAGAGTTCAGTGCTTACTCCTCACTCATCAGTAATGTCCTGAGTGCGCCACCCAAAGATTCAGTACTGTATTTCAAACGCAGATGAACACTGTAGTGTCCAAGAAATCCATACTATTGTCACTAATGTTCGACGTTTATTTAACTGAAGGATGGTGATTCCTTAGTATTTCTAAATATTGCAAAAAAGTTTCTAGTGATTCAGTCCAAATGATAAAAATGTTGTCAAGAAATCTTACATTAAAAAGGGGCTTAAATGGTAAAATTTGGTCTATATCACGTTACCAATCGGCCATGAAGATATTTGCATTGCTTCGAGCAAAACTCCAATTTATTTTAAGTCATTAGTTATTTAATTATAAGCCAATTTTTCAATTTTTTTCTAATACCCTATTCCTCAACATTTTTATACGCCCACATGAAATGTGGAGCGTATATTGGCATCACCCATATTTGTCGGTCGGTCCATCGGTCGTCCGTCTGTCCGTCCAATTGCTCGTAAACACTCTACAAGGCACAATTCGTGACTGATTTTGACGAAACTTGGTATGGTTGTTTGTAATCACCCAAGGATGAAAAACTAAAAAATCGGAGCTAAAAAGTCAGCATCAAAAGTGGAAATTTTCAATTTTGTAATTGCTATCCTTTAGCCATTAGCTCGATCTTATAAACAAAAAAAGTTGAATCAAAATTCGAGTCGTTATTTAGAAAAAATCGCTTTTGTCCTACTTCATTTCCAGTTGAAAAAAAATTTGTGAAAAAACATTCATCAGATTCACGACATTAATGGGAGAAATCGTAACAGTATATATGTGGCATGTGTAGTTTTGGCTGTGCACTTGCTCAACAGCAAGAAAATGGGCTTGACCTTTTTAGTCCTTCTCCTTTACAAATTCAAAGGTCATTGACCTTGGCTATCTGCTGATGCTTTCATTAGTGAGGTCTGGCACCTACTTCCGGTATTACAATTTGACGAAACTTGGCATGAGTGTTGGATATCACCCATGGATAAACCATATTGAAAAACAGAAAAATTGAAAAATATTATTGCTCTTGTTCTTGAAAACGTGTTCAAATTTTTGCTTGTAAACACTCTAGAAGGTTTCTTGACGGATTTTGGCGAAACTTGGTGTGAGTGTTCGTAATCACCCAAAGATGAACTCTATTGAAAATCAGAAAAATCGAAAAATATTGAGTAAGAGTTATTGCCCTTATTCTTGAAACATGTTCAATTTTTAGCTTGTAAACACTCTAGGAGGCACAATTTTTGACGGATTTTAACGAAATTTGGCTTGAGTGTTTGTTATCACTCTAGGATAAAGCCTATTGAAAATCAGAAAAATACAAAAATATTTAGTGTGAGTTATTGCCCTTGTTCTTGAACACTCAATTTGTAGCTCATAAAAACTCGTAGAAGGCATGATTCTTGCCAGATTTTGACAAAACTTGGTTTTATTATTCAGTACCGTGCTGAAGATTGAATATTTGTCTTCTAGAGATTTCACGAGCTAAAAATTGAACACGTTTTTAAGAACTAGGGCAATAACTAGTTCAAAAGAAGTCTATGACTGAAGCATACATGTGTACAGGTCAGGAAAAAAAATCTGGAGATTTGCATTGAAAAATCTGGAGATTGGGTGAAAAGTCGGGAGATTTTTCCAAAGCACGTAAATTCGTGATTTGAAACTCCAAATTAATTCTTTTTTCATTTTTTTTTTAAAATAAGCTTTAAGCCTTGTAAATTAATTAAATTGATCATAGGTCTTCTAAATCAAATGGTACCGGTAGGCCTATATCATACATGTAATACCATATTAAAAATAAGTATGTTCTGAAAGCAATATTTAGTAAATAATATGTACTGGCAATGTTACTTTTTCCAAAGGTGTAATTCATGACATCTAAAATATCTCCATTCCGATCATTAAATAATTTTCCTGCAACACTCTCACGAAGTATTGAACTGAATTAACCGCTTCCATTTTGATGTTCTTCAGAATGGAAAGACTTGTAATAAGTAAGCCTGTTATGCAGGCAATAAAATGAATGTTTACAGGCTACAGTAAAATTACAAAACTATTTTATGAAACGAAGTTTGAGTTTACATAAGAATTAGACATCCAGTCGCGTATGACAATCTACCGATAATTCTGAAACGACGTCTATGTTATATAGGCCTAATATAGACCTCACAGATTGACACTGACAGTATAAAATACTATGAAGACCTGAAGGTTTCGTTTTTTAGTCAAAGTAGTGCTATCGTAAAAAATATTAAAAAAGCGAAAGTAGAATCTACCGGATGTTGTTATAAAAAGTGTGTCACGTGGGCTTAAAATACACATTATCGGGTGAAAATAGATCTAATTACCATCGTAATTGGGGGATTAATTAATTAGGCAATGATAATATTATTACGTGATGAGATTAACGCATGTTACCGGCAGTCATTTATACAAGTAATGATAGATATTTTGTTGATTTATGGTAGTGAATTTGAGCTTTGAAAATTTGATTAGGAAAAAAACCAAAAATCGGTAAAATTGGGTATCCCGCCGATAGAGCAATAGACAACATGCAAAAGCAACCGACAACATCTGTAGATTACACATGTATGCTGAAGGTTGAATATTTCATACTGGTGATTGTTACTGTACTGTTAAGTATTTTTATTCATAATCAAAGCTGCCAGTGGGCGTATATTACCTTACCTGGCAAGCTATCTTAGAGTTTTCACGGGCTAAAAATTTAACACGTTTTCAAGAGGAAGGGCAATAAGTCATACTCTTACTCTTTATTATTCAGTATCACTCCAAAGAGTTCAAAAGAAGTGTATGACTGAAGGTTGAATATTTCACACTGGTGATTGTTACTGTACTGCCAAATATTTTTATTCAAAATCAAACCTGCCAGTATATTACCTTGCCTGGCAAACTATTTTATAATATTTCATTGTTATTGTCGTGACAGGTTAGGGTTTTACTATATGCATACAAGGACAGGGATCCCAAACTTCTGCTATTTTTCTGGTTAAAGTAGTTATTTTATTTTGTCTACCCAAAAAACTGTGAAAAATATTGAGTTCCGGTTGAAAAATATCAAAACTCGTATGAATCAAGTTAGCTTTCAACTGCGACCAAAGAAAAGAATCGGTCAATCCCCGTAGTAGATAGAAGAAGTCTGGGTGTTAGAGACTACTATAAATCTCATGACTATTTTAGGTACTATTGTTTTTAAATAAATCCATGGTTACAATTTAATAAAACCTTCTTGAAAGATACAACTCTGATATCGCGTTCGTACACTAATATTTAGCAATTTTGAAAACTCCTGGGTTGAGTTCATTCAATCTGTATGGCCATACAGAGTCAAGTCTATGAATCCACAGAGTTTCTGCACTGTCTAATTTGCTTTTGCTTTCATTTGGAATTTTCTCAAGAAGTGTGCATTTATAATCATGACCAGGTTGGTTAAAATGGGGAGCAATGTGAGGAGCTTTATGAACCGTTTTCAATTTGATGTTGCTCCTATGTTTGTTATGTCTAATATTGAAGGGGGTTATTGTCTGTCCAACATACTGAAATTGACATAATTAACAAGTAAGACAATATATAACAAAATTACTCTGATAATTTAAAGAGTCTTTGATATAAAAATGATTTTGAGTGTCTTTTGGTGATTGTGTTAGTTGTGTTCATCTTTTCACAAGTTTTGCACTTGGGTTCATTACAAGGTACACATTCCAATATTCACATTTTCTACACACTGTTTTAATTTGTTTTCCCTTAATAAATTTCCCAAGGTCTAATTCCTGCGTCCTGCCGCAATGATTTTCCTTGTTTTTAATATGTCTGTCATTCTGTAGCTTGTCCTTAAAATGTCTGTGTCTTTTATGTCTGTTATTGCCCTCGACTTTGTAAACATCAAAAGTTGTTTTTTGCCCTTGATTAGAGCTGTATGATTTAATTGTTTGTTGTATTTAGGTTATTGATATTGATTTTAAAAAATTTTGTGGAATTACTCAGCATAAATAACTGGTATATATATATATGTAATTGATTTCAAACTAATAAAATTTCTTCAATGTGAGAAAATTCGTACTTTAGTCATTTCTGACAGCTGCCAGTGAGCGTATGTTACCTTGCCTCGCAAGCTATCTTGTGTAGATTTGATTAGGATGGCAGCCGCTAGGTGGTAGATAGTGGTGGCTAGCTGTTTCTTTACAGAATAGATCAGGGCCCCGTTTCTCAAAAAATCTTACGATCAGTCGTAGGTTGTAAGTGTTGATTTGATCGTAAATGGCGTTTCTCAAAAGATCAAATTTATTGTTCATTGCAATTTAAAGCGCTCCGAAATTTTGATTTCCAGCGTCAATGAAACATAATGATGACGTTATGTATGTTTTGACGTCATCGCCGAAGCGAAAAAAATGGCGGCTTTCAATGAAGAGGAAGACGAAAATTTGAGAAGGTGGTCAGTGCCACTTGACAATTTCCTGCTCAGTCAAACCCACTCAGGGATCAAATCTGATGTCAAATTTTCCTTTTTTCCCATAAAATACACTTATTTATTGTGAAAAAAGACTATTTGGTTCTACCACCTGATAGTTACGACAGCTTTGACCACTCATAAGTTTACACCAGAATTAGTCGTAAACATACGATTTTTTGAGAAACGGGGCCCAGTTTCAAATCTGTTACCCTCTTTAATTACTTTTACATCTAAAATATTCACTTTATCTGTGTCAATATCCATTGTAAATTTAATTTTGGGGTGAAGATTATTCAGTTTGTGTAAAAATTTGTGAGATTCTTTTGGTGATTTAGTAGACTGAGCCCAAATGTCATCAATATCTCTGCAAGATATGTCTGGTTTTTCAGATAAAGAATTCCAAAATTTATTCATCCAATAGGTCATATAGATATTTGCATATGTAACTGCAAAAGGTATCCCCATAGATGTCCCAGATATCTGTCTGAAGAAGTTCCCATTGAATTCAAATTCATTGTTGTGCAGAACAAAGTCTGCAACTTGTAGAATGCTATTAGTTTCTTCTAGACTGATGTTGTTCGTTTTCTCCAGAGCATCTTTCAAAGCATCAAGACCTTCAGATATGATGTTGGGATAAAGGCTAATAACATCAAGAGTAAGCAGGTGACTATCTTCTGGTATAGAACTGTTGTTGAGAGATTGGATTTTTTGTAGAAAATGAGTGGTGTCTCTGACAACTTCATGACAGTAATCCTGAGCTACCTCTTTTAATTTCCAGTCAAGCCATTGAGATGCCTTATATGTAGGAGCTGTTATCTGACTACATATAGGTCTGTCAGGTGGAATTTCTAATGTAGTTTTAACTTGATGTATTTTGCCAAGAATGTAAAAGTGGGCTGGTGTCTTAACTGGTCTATGGAGGATAGCTTCTTTCTCTTTATCATCAATTTTCAATGAATAAATTCAATTTTACAGTTGATCATGGATCTCATTAAAATTATCTTTCCCTACTTTCTGATACACTGAATCGTCCTGAAGACGTTTCTCACATTCTTTGATGTAGTCTTGTCGGTCCCAAATAACGATACCACCTCCTTTGTCAGCTTTACCTATCACAATTTCTGTATCATTCCTTAATGCTGACAATGCTAATCTTTCTTCCGTTGTTAGATTATCGTGGATTCTTTTTTCTATGTGACTTTTCACAGTTTGAGATTGGATGAGGCAATAAAGTTCCAATGCATCATCTCTGCCAGTTGGTGGTGACCAGTCACTCTTAATGTAGAGTGAAGGTGGAAGCATTGGAACTGGACAAAACGATAACCCTTTGCTTAGTAATTGAGATTCAGAATCTGATAAAGTTCTTGAACTCACATTGAAGATGAATGATCTTGTGGACCACTTAACCAATTTAGCATTTCAGGCACATTTCTTCTTTCTATCAAATCGTCTGGTTGTCTTTTTCTTCACAGTGTCAGAGGGGGGTAATTTCTGACGGCGTCAATGATGTTAATTTTCTGTTATGGGTGCGTCTTATGGAATTTCTTAATTTATCACAACTCTTCTGTTAGGCAATTGGACATTTTTTTCAACCCTTTAAAATGTTACTTTTTTTAATCTTGTTTGATAGAGCTCTCCAAATGGTAGCCAATGACACCTTATTTGTCCAAATCGGAATACTATTTCCCCGAGATATGCCCAATTAAAGTTCAGCCTATTAGCACTTAATTATTATACAGACAATGCATTAGCAATTAGTAACAAAAAATTTACATATAAATAGTCTGGTCATTTTGGTCAAAATAATAGGCCAACCTCAAGAAAATTGCAACAGAATTAATTCATCTTTTATGTTATTTGATACCATATTAGCTTTCAGGAAAAAAAAGTCTACCAAAATCAACTCATGGTCACAAGATATAGGCCTATATATGTCATATATTCGTATTATGGTAAATTTGTAGGATGGCAGAAATTCTATTTTATTACAGTTTTCTTTCTAATATATTTAAATTAAACAACAGTCTAGATATATAATTTCTATTTGCTGCATGAAAAGTATCAGAGGAACACTTAAATTCATTATAATCGTTCAAGGTCAAATAGAGGACATACACAAAGAAAGGCCGAAAAATTTAAAATGTTTATTCCTCTATATTCCCCACAGGAAGCTGAACACTCTAGTCCATTTCTACGAGAGGTGCATCGTCTTGTATCACAGTTAAGTTTGCAGTTGCATTTGATCATTTTCATTAACTGTTCGGGTGCTGGTGCAATTGACAACTTGACTGGAAACAGTTTCCCATCCTGCATATACCACCCCCATTCTGTAGGATCAAGACTCTGTTCATTGTTCACTCATTGTTGACACTGCAGATACGTTCTCAAGCTGTGGTATTTTGCTGCATCAGAGGTTGGAGGCAGAGTTTTGATTTGGACGCCAACGTACCCAGATCCTACTTTTGAAGTGAATTTCCTCCAGCGTAAGATATCAAGTCCCTCGTTTTGTAATCCTGTAAGCCGAAGAACGTGATGACCATCCTGAAAGTGTTTATAAACGTCCGGATGTTCCGATTCAAGATTTTGCATTTTTGAGAGGTAAATATAGGCAGATTTTGTATACAGGTTATGTCCAGATGCTGCAAAGTATGGTAACATTTCCTGAGTAAGTAATGTAAGTCCCAATTTCCAGTCCTTTCAGCCTTGAGAAATCGTCTAAGAATCGCCATCATTTCACAGAAACTGATCCATAGAGATGATGTCCTAGATCGCTGAAGTTGCTCTTTCAAATCTGACATGTAAGAAATTTCAATAAGAGATTCATTCGATTCAATTGATTCACTGTTGTTGTAATCCTCACTCATCAACTTATCATAAAGGCAAGAACATTTTGCAAGGGTTCTGGATATTCTGTGAACTCTTCGCTGAATTCACACTGGAACATCTGTTCCACAAGAGAATGTAAAGCCAAATCCACCAGCATAATTCCCCTCACAGCCCTGGCTACTGCTTTCCCGCTGAGCATATGACATATGGCATTCAGAGCAAATATAGTTTCGAACACATCTCGTAGCCCTGTCCCACTCATGATACGACCTATGCTTCCCAGAAAGCTCATTTGTGTGTGAAAACCTCCCAGACGCAGAACTACATCAGCTATATCACTTCCAGTATGTTCGTTGCAAACTATCTCCATTGCTTTCCAATAAAGGGGCTGGTCGAAGGTCAGGACTGGAGTTGTCCCATAACATAAAGCCTCTGAAGTGACAAAGTATATGGTTGAATAGACGCATGACATGTTTGTAGGATCCATATCTATCATACGAAGGAACACAATTGACGATTGTCCTGGATGATTTCCCTTGCTCACCATTTGCATGAATCCAGACCAGATTGGAGCAGGTGTTCTTAAACGCCAGGTCACACTATGTAAGATGTCCATCATTTCTACTTTGTCCAAAACACTTATTTTGCGAAGTTCTTGATATTTTCATGCAGCAAAACCTTGATCAGATGGTTTTTTAACATAATATTTACTGTTAATTTTGCCCATGACACCAACTCTTCAGTTGATACATTCCGTCTTGGAACTTTGATGGAACCGGCTATACGAGGGGTAAAGCCAGCTACATTTCCCATACCATGAAACATATTTTTGCCATCAAGCGTTCTAGTATTATGATCAACATTGTCTGCTTCATATTGTAGACATCCTTCAAGATTTAATCCAGTAATAGGACGATCTTTGCCTTTCTCAAATTTCTGAACTTCTGTATAACAAGAACAAAATCCCAGCTTGGATAAGGTATCAATTAGCAGTCGAGATGCAAAATGATGGTGCAATTGGTAGAGGCGAAATGCACTGCTTTGTTTTGTATAATTGCTTGTCCAATGGAAGCTACATGTAATTCAGAATTTTTTGAAAACAAAGTCCGAAACAGAAGCTGAAGAGATTCTAGAACAAAGTCGATGTTTTTATCCAAAGAAGACAAATTCTCTGTCGCTGTATAACAGTCCTTAGATGCTTCCATTGCACGTATATCTTTTTTAAGAAGTTTGGCTGCTGTCATGATGATTAATTTGGTCTCCGATTCAGTGTTACTCTTTGTTTGATTTTCATAATAATCCTGGAGAATAGACCTAGCAGTGTATTGGAGATTTTCCATTAATTTCCGATATTACAATCCGAGTTCCAAAATGTTCTAATAATTCAACCTTCATATGTGAAATACTATATGCATTTTCTTCCCCACAATGTTCTGCCATTTTCTTTACTAGATCGATGATGGTAATTTGTTTATCGTCATGCTGTATCAAATACTCTGTTGCATATATAAAGCTTTCTCTTTTTGCTGATGGTCTTCCAACTGGTGTCCTCTGTTTCTTTGTTTCTGGGGAAAATTCTTTGGGTACATGTCTGTAGGTTTGAAAATTAACACTTCAACTTTGATGATACAAGCGCAAAGATCAGCTGCATATTCCACCCTTCCCTTCACCTCAGCAGCCCAATCATCATTGCGGTCTGTGCAAATATCCATAACTGTACTATCAAAATCTGAAGTTCAAAATGGAAATACATCAGGACCTCTTTTATTTCCAGACAGTCTTGTAGATTGACCACAGAATAGACACTGTTGTTGAAAATTAAACAGAGAACTGGAACGCAGGCTTCCTTTTGATGCTAATAAGGAATCTGTATCTTTATCTTGAGATTTCTTTTGGTTTAGGAGAATAGACTTTGGATTAATATATGACTTCCGACAATCTTGGTGTACTTGTTGACCTGGAACAGTAAGTATGGAGTCACCACTTACCTTGCTGGCTTCGTTTATACTTTTACCACCTTTTTGTCGTAAGGTCACAGTATCCCGTCCGTTCTGGAGAGATTGATGACACAGGACACAATCTTCCATATTTAGCTTACTGGTTGCCATACTTCTGAAAGAAGGAAAAGGTCTTACAGCATCGTTTATTTGAATTTCGTGACTTTTAACTTTAAACAGTAAAACAAACGATCTCAAGACGAAAAAGTCCAAATCGGGTGTTTTAGAAATAGGTAACTTATTCTGACATCAATATAGTCAAAATTTGTTGTAAAACCCAATGAATTTAATGAATTGCAAATTACGTGCGCATAATGTCACTCATGAGCTTCCTTACATTTTCAATTATTAACGGCCACTTTTTTTTGATTGGTTTTCCATTTTTTGATATAATTTTTCACATAATTATGTTTCTAATAAATGGAACAATCTTGGGTGAATTTTTAAAAAACAGGAATAGGGTTAGCGGTCGTGTTTGACGTGTTTGTTCTTCGCTGGAGCGTCATATTCAGTTAAATGTGCATTAGTCAACATACTATGAAGCAATATGGCTCCGTTTTCGTTGTTTTGTTTCTGAATATTTACCAAGGCACTTGTAGAATCACTACGAATTATCTCCCTTTTCAAGCTCTTCATGATGTATGGCGGTCCGTAGGTGCCATATTCTCCTCGTTGGTTTTATCTTTTTTGATGCATGAATTAATCCTTTTTCCGAGGGTTGATTTTGGTAGACTTTTTTTATACGATCTCAGATACATTCAATTAAAAGGAAAAAGTCAGTAGTATAAGAGTATATAGATAGGGGGCACTTTCAATAAATTATACTACTCTTTTGCCCGCGGCGCCCGCAAGCCCACGAAACAAACAACCCCACCATGCACGCAGTTAATAAATCTGGTGCCTATAGGGGTACAAGTTTACCAACCCCCAAGCATCCCAGGCCAATAATATCTTTAAATTAACTTTAATTAACTTTAATTTAAAAACAGAATGAGTTTAATTTTAAAACACAAACAACACAAATTCGAACATTTCTCATCCCAAAAGTAGCCAACTTTGTCTCGATCAACAAATCCCTTATTTCTTCTGAAACGCAAGCTCTTGGGTCAGTTGCAAAAGCAGGAATTAAAATAAACGATGCTGTGAAAAAGTCTGATGAATTGAAAGAATTACAGCAAATAAGAGAACTACGAAACAGGAGAATAGAACAACAAGAAAGAAAAGGAAAAGGTTTTAGAATTATTAGATAAAAATGTCAATGATAATTGCTCAAACTCCTAAAACTTATTTCGGTTCTGACATTCAAAAATCATTAAGTTCTCTTCCTGGATTTCCATGGGCAAAATACCCCGGAGAAAAACATCTTCCTGGTCATAATTATACTGGTCCAGGTACAAGGTTAGATCTGCGATTAGGCCAAAACGATAAACCCAAACCGGGTGAAGAACCAGTCAATAGAGTTGACGCAGCAGTGCTCAAACACGACATACTATACAGAATTAAAAACATAACATCCAGACACGAAGCAGACAAACAAATGATAATCGAACTTAAAAATATTTCAAATCCAACTTTCAAAGAGAGAATTCAAAGAGCATTAATCATTAAACTCTTGAAAGCAAAGATGAAAATGGATATGGGAATAGCAGATGAAATACACAAAGAATTTAGAAAAAACAAACATTTTATAAAAGTCAAAGTGTTTAATAGAGATGAAATATGGTCAGCAGATTTAATTAATATGCCAGTCGAAAGAGGATATAAATATTGCTTAACAGTTATAGATTTGTACACAAGATATACTTGGGTTATTCCTCTCAAAAACAAAACAGGTTTATCAGTCAAACACGCATTTGAAACAATAATGAAACAATCTGACAGACGACATCAAAAGTTATGGGTAGATAAAGGAAGTGAATTTTATAACAAAAATATGAAATCTCTAGGATTTGAAATTTACAGCACACATAGTGAAGGTAAAGCTGTAGATTATAATAGAACTGTTAAAAACATATTATTCAAAAAATTCACGGAATTGAAATCCCAAAAATGGCTTAAAATATTACCAGAGGTTGTAGATGAATACAATAATAAAATTCATTCATCTATAGGTGTCACACCAACACAAGCCTCAAATAATCCAAATATTATAAAGTCAATTAACACACAAAATAACTATGAAAATGAAATAAACAATTTAAATATCAAACCCAAATTTAAAGTCGGAGATTGCGTTCGTATTTTCAAATATAAAAGCAAATTTGAAAAAGGCTACGTTGGATTTTGGACAAACGAAATATTTATCGTAGATAAAGTAAATAGCACATCACCTCCAACATATGAATTAATCGATCAAGACAAAGAACAAATCATAGGTAGGTTCTATCAAAACGAACTTCAAAAAACTGACTTTTAAAATGAATATCTTTCTCGATAAATACGGAACCGATACAACTACAATCTTTCAACTTATGAAATGGGCAAATGAGTTAAATATATCTCCGTTTTATTATTGTATGAGAGATGAAATAAATAATCTCAAATATAAGAAAGGTAAATTTCTGGCTAAAACAAATATATATACTTAAGATCAAAAAGGAGTTCATCACTCTGCTTTATACAAAGACTCTTTAAATAACTTTTATTTCTTCAATTCTTTTGGATTAGAACCAACTGAAGAGATAATGCAATTAGTGAAAGTAATCAAATGTTCAACATTTCAATTTCAATTACCGTGTCAAAAATTTTGTGGACAACTTTCACTTTGGGTTTTATTATCAGTTGAGTTTAGGAAATCAATTTGAAGAAATTATAATAAATTTAACTTAATAAAAATGGCGAATAAATTTGGATTAGGTTCTTTACCTTTAGATACTAAAAAACCTAACACAACAGCGTGGATAAATAAAGCAAAACCTTACTTTGTGGATCAAATTGGAGACAAACTTCAAGGTGATTTAGATATGAATAATTTTACCATAACTAATTTAAAGTTACCAGAAAATGATTATGATGCTGTTCACAAGAAATATTTAATGGATCAATTAAATTTGATTAAAGTAAATAAAGAACATTTAAAAGAAAGAACAGGCGATGTGAAAGGTACTTCAAACGACAAATAAATAATAAATATTTTATTGATGATAATAAGTTACAACAAGAAGTAACAAGTTTGAAAAGTTATGTTGAAGAACAATTACTTAATGTAGTAGATAAAACTCAATTACAACCTTTAAGTTCATTAATATCTAATTTAGATGATAAGATTACAAAACAAAAAATAGATCTTAAACAACTAATAGCCAATATTAATCCAGGTATAAGTGAAGATAAATTAACAACATTAGAAACAAAACTTATTGATAATAGTGAAATACGAAAACAAAGAGTTGGTATTAAACAACAATTACTTAATGTAGTAGATAAAACTCAATTAGAAAATTTAAAATTATTAATATCTAAATTAGATGATTAGATAACAAAACAAAAAATAGACCGATAAAACAAAAAATAGACCTTAAACAACTAATAGATAATGTTAAACCAGGTATAAGTGAAGAAAAATTAACTGAATTAGAAACCAAACTCAATGATAATAGTGAAATAGATGCTATTAACACGTTAAATGCCAACCTATGAGATAACTCGGAAAGTGGTTCAGTACCCATTGCCGACTACGAGTATATTCGGATTTAGCTATATGAATTTCAATTGATCATAAAGTCGTCGGCAATGAAGAAAGACCTTTGTTTTATAGTTCTGCAACAGAACCTGACACCATATAATCTACAAAATACAAACTTTTCGGGAAAATGTTGTTTCAAGCTATTTTGTGGGCTTACAAATCTGACTCTGTAGATACCAACCCCAGAATTCATCTATAATATATTTATTCTTATTATTGACACGGAAGGTTCAAAGTTTTGGCGATTTTTAACACTGGATGTTGTTATTAATCATAAATTCAACATGACTAAGCATCAGCATGAATATTTGTAGGCGCGATTGGGTATGGTAGGGGTGGGCAATGAGGGACGATAGAGTTGTCAAAAGAGCATTTGCGTTTATTTCGAATTGTCTCATAAACAGAAAACAATGAGTTACATAATCAGTTTTTCTCATTATGATATTGCCTAAAACATTTATCTACGCACAATGCTGGTTTTTCTCTGCAGACTGGGCAGAAGTAACGGCTTTCGTGTCTCTGTTTATTCTGTGAACAAATCCGACATGGCTTTGTGGGTCGCTGTTTCTTCTCAGAAGGAGGGATTACTTCAAGGAAATGAAATTCAGCTGAATCATCAACTCCTCCACGTCTTGCTCAAATTTTCAGTTCATTTGTTAGACGATCCTCTATTAGATGCATCACCACTGCCTCACGGAATTCCAGAAGGCTCATTTTCTTCAAGTGCTTGTCATTGTACAAGATATGGGCGTTCATCACTGCAACTTCTATGATATGAAGACCTATTTTCTTGTACCAGCGCATAGTTTTCCTCAATGCACTGTAATAAGATAGCATCTGGTCGGATCTGTCGACCCCAGACATACCACTGTTATAATCTCTGACTATGTTTGGTTTTTGGATTTCTTTTCCGTTGCGATTTCTGACTGCGACCATCTCTACGGAGTGCATGTTGGATATTGTCAGCACATCACTTTTGTCTTTCCATTTACAAACTGCGACCCCTTCTGATTCTCTCCAAATAGCCTCCCCTTTCTTCAGTTTCTTGTTAACAACTTCTTTTGGGTTACCCTTCCTATCACTTCTCAATGTTCCACAGATGTAAGTAGAGCGTGTTGACAGCAACTTGAATAATTCGATGGAGTTATAGTAATTGTCTGTAAAAACAGCATGGCCCTTATCCAGAAAACCTCGTAAAAGATCAAGAACGGTTGCAGCAGACTGTCCTAGACAATGAGGATCTTCGATGGAAGTTCCTGAGTATATACGAATTCTAAGAACTAAGCCTCTTGACTCACACAATTCATAAAGTTTTATACCATACTTAAGACGCTTGTTTTTGATATACTGACGAAACATCAATCGACCACGCCAAAGTACCATGGACTCATCAATTGACAATTCCCTCAAGGGATAATATATTCTATCCATGCCCTGATTAAAACTATCCAGCATTGGTCTAATTTTATAAAGACGATCATCAGATGGTTCTCGGTTATTGGCGAAGTGCCAGAATCTGAACAGAAGCTGAAAACGATTTCTTCCTGTGACACCCTTGAAAAACACGGATTTGTATAGGGCATTATTGCTCCAATAATGTTCCACTGTTGGTAAGTTAACAGGTCCCATATGAAGGAGTAATGCTATGAAATGTTTCATTTCTTCAGTGTTAGTTTCCTTCCAGTCATGGAATCTAGATTTTCGTCGCAGCGGACGTTGTTTGTTGATTTCAATACCAGCATATCGATTCGTTTCAACAACCATTAAGTTTAAGAGTTCATCGGTAAGAAATAAATCAAAACATGCGCCTGTACTATCATCGTGCGTCTCCACAAGAAGACCAGATTGCTCATCAAATTGAAATATAGGAGGACCACTTGCTACATCAGACCATATATGTTGCCTTTTGGCCGGTTCAGCATTTCGGACATTTATTGTCTGTGGTTCATGTGTATGGAATGGTTGTTGTGAATCACCTTCTTGTTCCAATACATGATCTATATCATTACTTTCAATATCAGCGTCAAAACCACCATTCGCCAGAGCCTCTAACAATGGCCTGGGGTCACCACCTGCAAGAGCCCTCGTCCTCACAACGCTTCCACATTTGGCTCCTCTTGTTCGCACTCCACCACGGGTGGGAGTTATGCTATGTTGTCCGCGACCTCCTTTCACTCCACCACGAACCCTTGCCCGACCTCTTGTTGGTGCACAGGGGGTTGTTTTCATTTCACCATCACTGCAAAGAAATACAACAATATCTAAACTTCCATACCAGGAAATGAAATCTTAGGTCCATATTATGTATCTTAAAATCATTCTTGATCTACATATATCATCATGGCTATATCATGACGTAAAATCATATGAAACTTACCTTGAAGAATTTGAGTCTGAGGAGACCATAGGGTTTCCAAAATTGGAATCAGAAAGTTCATCTTCAATGGTGGTGGTATCTGAAGATTCTTCAGCACTCTCGTCAGTTGATGGTTGTTCCATTATAATGTCAGCAATTTCTTTGGCGCTAAAAACATTTGACGCTGCCATTTTCAAGGCAAAGTACACGTGGTAAGGCAACTAACACGTGGCGAAGCAAATTCAGAGCGCATGCGCAATTCTTATTGGCTTAAAATTAGAACAAGTATAATAATTCATTATCATAACTTCGGTGGTTGTAGATCGTAGTTCGGCAATACTAACAGAACATTTATTGTATTGCCATGATACGAGTCGTATTACGGCAAGGTCGACAACGCGAGTTAAGCTTTGCTTTAATACGACTCGTGGAAGTGCAAACGAAACAGAAGTCTGTAAATGTTGCCAAACTACGACTCATACTTACTACATTCCAAATAGATGCTAAATGCCCGGCAACGGAAGTGGGGACTATCAAATGGCTTCAGCAGTCAACGTGTTAAACAACAACTTCTAAATGTAGTAGATAAAACTCAATTTCAAAATTTAAAATCATTAATATCTAATTTAAATGATAAGATAAAAAAGCAATAAAAATAGATCTTAAACAATTAATAGATAATATTAACCAGTGAAGAAAAAATAACTGAATTAGAAACTAAACTTAATGATAATAGTGAAATAGTCACTATTCAAAAACAATTACTCAATCTAGTAGATAAAACTCAATTAGAAAATTTAAAATTATTATTATCTAAATTAGATAAGATAGCAAAATAAAAAATAGACCTTAAACAACTAATAGATAATATTAAACCAGGTATAAGTGAAGACACATGGCAACGGGAATCAACTGCTCTAGAAACTAAATTTAAAACTGAATTAAAAAAAGAACTAACAAATATTAATCAACTGATACAAAATATTTATGATAGTGAGATTCAAGAACAGATAACTACTATTAATAACAAAGTTTTAAAACAGGAAAAAAAATATAGCCACATTAGAAAAACATTTCAAGGAAAATAAAAAATCATATTATTTCAATCTTCCAGTTTTTCGTGTGAGAAATACTGAGCGTATTCCTACAGGTGAAACAACATATCAGTTGGAAGGATATGGATTTATATTTAAAATATAAGTATTTTCATAAGTGGAAACGATAAAAACATATTTGATATGTAAATCTTTAATTGAAATTCTTTTTCCTGTAAAAGTTAAAAACGATTCAATCTTCTTCTCTCATCCATCTAACTATTTTCAAATTTATCAAAGATGTGAATATAAAGATTTGGAAGTTAATGATGAAAACAACAATCATATGTATGAAATTAAAACAAATGGAAAATATATAGACACCTTTAGATTGTCAATAATACCAGACAATGACAACGATATTCTTTCAATAGGTGATTTTGATATGATATTAAAGACGGAAAGCTCACCATGGATGAACATTATTAGAAATCCAACTCCACTAAAAACACACACAATAAAGAGTTATACGTTTTTAAGAACATTAGACTTTGAATATACAAAACTATATTTAGTTAATACTAGTTTTTCACTCAATGTACAAAAATATTATCCTGATTTATTTACCTCAATTGATATTCACAAAAGTCAACAAGATAAAGAATTTATAATATTTTCATCAATAATTGAACGTCATGAAGGAGATAGTAATAAAGAAGTTGGTGGTATATATACTTGTAGATGTAGTATAGAGATTAATATTGAAAAAAAAAACTTTACAGTTCATCTAAATAAGATTAATGATTTGAAAGAAGAAATATCATTAGCATCTGTAAAAGTTACTATTTATACACCCGAAGTAATGATAACAGATAAACGAAAAATAATAGGAGGAGGTAGAGAGATTAAAGGATTCCCTATTGTAAATATTGAACAATATCCATCTTTTTCTTTATCAGAAATTCACTTAATTTAAAAAAATGGAACTCAAATTTAGACAACAATATATGATAGACAAAAAAAAACGAGTTAAAAGAAAACTAGAACAGTATAATAAATGTAAGAAAAGATGGATTAGAGTTGATTCTGTTTTCAAAACACTGAGTGTACTTCTAACAGTAGGAACAACAGTTGCAATGGCTGCAACTGGTGGATTAATGGTTCCAGTACTTGTCCCAACTGTATTAGCCACAATTACTGCTATTCAAACTTCATCTTGTGGGTTGATTGCTATAGGTTATACATCAAAACAGAAATCTTATTATAAAAAGAAAACTTATAAAAATTTTAAATACATATATTTTCATATTTTTTGAAAGATCAAGAGAAGATAAGAACATAACTATTGAAGAATTAGAAGAATTCAATGAAATTCTAGAAAAATTTGAGATGGAAATATCAACAATAAAATTTAAAAAAAAATACTTAAAAATAGATCATTAAAAAAGCATATATAAAAAATATGAATGAATCAATTGAAATTAATGATGATGAAACATTCATAGAAAACGTGTTATTTTCAAATATTATCAAGGTTGTTTCCAATAAATTTTTAACATTTAAAGGACAAATTGAAACAGATGGAGAGATGTTTCAAGATGGAAAGCACAAACAATTTATGAAACTTCTTGGTTTTAATGCCAAAACTTTTCATACTATCTTAAGAAATATGGAAGAAAAATCTGACCCTTCTGATTGGTACTTTACAGGAAGTATCTTTTTACTTAAAGACAATTTTAAAGAAATTAAAAGATCAAAAGTTGGAAGAGGAACTGAACTAAGCAAAAAATTAAATGAATATATAGGTGAAAATTGTAAATTATGTTTTAAACAAAGATTTAACAAATGAATTTCAAAATTTCATGAATAGTTTCTCAAAAGCAAATAGAAAAGGAGTGATGACATCTGCTAGAATTAATGAATTCAATAAGAAATGTGATATTACATTTCAAATTTATACTCATAATAATAGAAATTTGCGCCCCACAATTGTAAAAGAGGAATTAGATTGGGTTTTATATTTACACAACTTGCATTTCTGTCTTTTAAGAAGAAATACAAAAAGTTTGGGTATTAAAGAAATAGAAGATAATTATGAACAAGTGTGGAAAACGTGTAGAGACGATAACGCAGTAACACAGGTTTCCCCTCTAAAACTAAACGTGTTTTCAAGTATAAGTGATGCTGGGTTATTTGCTTGGGATTGTGAAACATATTCAGAAAGTGAAACGCGTAAAGCAATTTCTTATGCGTGTACGTTAATTAATTTAAAAAAAAAAAGAAAAATGTTAGACAGAATAAATAATCTCTTTCCAGATTTAAATCCTGCAGATAATGTTCCAGAAGAATTTTATGATAAACTAATGATTATAGTAGAAATATTTGTAGGTACAGATTGTATAGATCAAATGTTGAAATATTTAGGTCAATATGATAGAAAGAGATTAATATTAATTTCTCATAACGGTAGCAATTTTGATAACTGGATCGTGCTTAAAAATATAAAAAAAACTAACACAATGCCCTTTAAAAACACCCAGAGGAATTCTATCTTTACCTTTATCTAATCCATACACAGATGAAGATTTACAGAAAAAATGGAAAAGAAAGAAAGAAATAACAAGTAATAATAATTATTTACAACATATTAATTTCACATGTTCCTATCAACATGAAACATCTAGTTTGGCGGCATGGGGTAATTCATCTAATCTACCAATGAATTTGAGAAAGATCACTGATATCAATATTGCAAAATACACCAAAGATAACTGGGAATCTTTAAGACACGAATGGGAACCTTACGCTAAAAGAGATACGTTATGTCTTGGAAGTTGTTTGATAAAATATAACCAAGTCACGAAAAAATATGTCCAATAATCTAACGGCTCCATCTTTATCTTTTAAGGGTTGGTATTATTGTGAAATACTTTCAGTTTCACTTTGTGAAGTAAATTCCTTTAATACATTACAAATTTCATCCATTTTGTTCGTTTCAAATATTTTTCTATTTGCCGAAACTCTTCCTCCTTTAATAGATCGTCTGATATAATGTCTTATAAAAGGATTAGAGTGCGAATAAACTTTTTCTATATTTTCTTTTTCAGTATGTTTTGGAACCATTCTAGTAGTTTCATACCATTCTTTATCGTAATGATACAAATAATAGATTATTGGACATCTTTTGGTTTACAACTTATTTCATGACTTGATTCATAAAGCTCCTCATATTGCCCCCATTTTAACCAACCTGGTCATGATTATAAATGCACACTTCTTGAGAAAATTCCAAATGAAAGTAAAAGCAAATTAGACAGTGCAGAAACTCTGCGGATTCATAGACTTGACTCTGTATGGCCGTATGGATTGAATGAACTCAAACCAGGAGGTTTCAAAATTGCTAAATATTAGTGTATTCCCCACCCCCCCCTTTTTTTCCCTTCCTGTTTAGATTTTTTGGCAATTCTTGAAGTCATCATTACATACTTGTTATGTTGTATCTAAGATTTTGATGTCATAAATCTTCTGAGGTCATGTTTTCAAGAATCAAATTGCCTCCCACCATTTTGTGATTTGACCCTTCTTTTGTTATGTGGTTTCTAAGATTGTGACGTCATAAACCTTGTGAGGTCATATTGTAATTTTAATCTTAACTGCCTTCCACCATTTGTAGTTTGTTTCTTCCCCTGATGAAGTCAAAACTTTTTTGACGAAACATTGGGCATTAAAGGATGGTATTTGATGTTAAGTTTTATAATTTATTACACATTATAATGTGGGCATATAAAAATGAAGAACCAACAGTCACTGACTGTGCTATGGAACCCCACAAAATTTTTATTATCCTGACTGACACTAGAGACTTGTTTAACATGACATACCAGCCTTTGCTCTATTAAATTCTTTGAATGTCTGGATAATTTGGACTGCCAGTAACATGACAGAAAACTGAGAAATGTTTTTGTGGGACATTATCGAAATGTCCCTTTTTTTTTTTTTTTTTTTTTTTTTTTTTTTCGTTTTTTACACACCTTCCTGAGCATAGACTGCATTAGTTGCAGCAACATTTCAACTTCTCTAGACCTTCTGTAGTGGCAATGTTGCTAATGAATATATTTTGGAACATTTTTGCAAAACCGGAAGTGCCACAGTTCAAAATCGGCTCAAGATCTCAGTCAAGTTGAAATGGGTAACAATCGACTGAACTTGAATTAATTCAATGCATCTAATTTGGCTTGTAGACCTGAAAGAGACTACATTTTTTATATGATCTTGATGAAACTTGGTATGAGATCTCAGTAAAGCTTGAAATTATTAAAAATCGGATGATAGGTTTCACATATTAAACCACTACAGACTTTGTTATCATTTCTGACAGCTGGAAGTGGGCGTACGTTACCTTGCCTAGCAATCTATCTTTGAGTTATTGCCCTTGACTTTGTAAACTTCAAAAGTTGTTTTAGAGCTGTGTGATTTAATTGTTTGTTGTATTTAGGTTATTGATATTGATTTTAACAAAATTTGTAAAATTACTCATTGCCCTTGATTTTTGTAAAAATGCGTCAAAAATTGTTTGTGACCACAATAGAAGCTACAGTTTTCAACCGATTTTGATGAAACTTGGTGTGATCATTGGCATTGATAATATCTCGAACAAGTTCTAACTTGAGATATTTTTGATAAACTTGTTTGACTTATTGCCCTTGACTTTGTAAACATGCGTCAAAAGTTCTTTTTTGCCCTTGATTAGAGCTGTGTGATTTAATTGTTTGTTGTATTTGGGTTATTGATATTGATTTTAAAAAATTTTGTGGAATTACTCAGCATAAATAACTGGCATATATATATATGTAATTGAATTCAAACTAATAAATTTCTTCAATATAAAAAAAAAATTCGTACCTTAGTCATTTCTGATAGCTGCCAGTGGGCGTATGTTACCTTGCCTCGCAAGCTATCTTGTGTAGATTTGGTTGTCGTGGGTCATAGGTGTTAGTCCATAGAATAATCTTCATTTTCTTTTCATCTTCTGCTTGGTGTCAGGGAAATAGCAGTTCAAGGCATGATCTTTCCCTTGCTTTGCTAAAGGCAGTTTCTACAATTTGGTCTTTATATCCAGAATTCTTCAGATGTTTAGCAAATTGAAATAATGTATTGTTTCTTTACAGAATAGATCAGTTTCTAATCTGTTACCCTCTTTAATTACTCTCACATCTAAAAAAATTCACTTTATCTGTGTCAATATCCATTGTAAACTTAATTTTGGGGTGAAGATTATTCAGTTTGTGTAAAAATTTATGAGATTCTTCTGATGATTTAGTAGACTGAGCCCAAATGTCATCAATAAATCTGTTGTTTGCGAGCGCAATAGAGACTACAGTTTTTAATTAAGTTTGGTGTGATCATTTCTAATGATAAGATCTTGGTCAAGTTGGAATATGATAGTTTTTTTAAGAACATTTTTTAAGTAATTGCCATTGACTTAGTAAAAAGTGTAAAAATTTGTTTGTGAGCGCAAAATAGACTATACTATTCATCCGATCTTAATGAACTTGGTGTTAGCATTGGGATTGATAAAATCTCAGTTAAGTTGATGATTTTTCGATAAACTATTTTTAAGTTATTGCCCATGATTTAGTAAAATCATGTCAACATTTGTTTGTGGTCACAATAGAAGCTAGAATATTCAATCAATTTTGATGAAACTTTGTGTGATCATTGGAATTTATAAGATTTCTGTCAGACTCAAATTGGATGATTTTTCGATGAACCTTTGTTCAGTTATTGTCCTTGAATTTGAATTAGATACTACGGTTTTTATATTGAAATTCATTGTTATCATTTATGAAAATAATGATGAGATCTGGGTCATGTTCAATATTGACAATTTTCCTTTTTTTTTTTTTTGAGTGATTGCCTTTGTCTTAGTAAAAACGCATCAAAATGTGTTTGTGAACACAATATAGTGAAATAATGAAGTATAATGAAATTCTGTGTTATCATTTATAATGATGAGATCTTGGTCAAGTTCAAATTTGACGATTTTTGGTATGATTTGACACAGATTGATGACAGCCCTAGATGTACTGAAAATTTATCAAAGAAGTGGGTATATCGTGATAGGCAAGCAATTGTTAAATCAGAAATGAAAGATTGTTTATAACTTAATTAAATGAATTTTGTTTTAGGAAGGTGAAGTTCTTGAGTGTTCACAGGTTAATGATATCAGACTTGGGCTAGCACCTAAAATTAATGTAAGTTTTTAAATTATTTATAGGTCCACATCAAAATGTGGTAGCACAATTTTCAGCTGTAGTTTCTTTCTGTCCTTCTGTCCAGAATTTGCATGGGTGCAGAATAAAGGCTTGATTTCTGGTCACAATCGCCAGCTAAAACTACACTTCGCATGATTGTAAAATGACGCATTTTGGCCTAACCGGAAATGACATTAACCATTTGTTGCGTATTTCGAATTACTGCTCTAATTCTGACTGTAATTTGTGTTTTGTTCGTTACTTTATACTAATAACTAAAAGTTAGCTCTATAAAAAATTTTGGATTTTGACTTTTGTTGCTGATTTTTTTTGTTTTAATTTTAGCGTTTTTATATATTAATATATAGATTATTTCGATCGATCTGAAAATTTACAAGTGGATAGTTATTTTGATAGCGAACAAAAATCTCATACAAAATATTTTTCAATTCTTCTGATTTTCAATAGGGTTCACCCTTGGGTGAGTACGAACATTCACACCAAGTTTCATCAAAATCCCTCAAGAATTGTGCCTTCTTGAATGATTACGAGCTAAAAATTTAACGCGTTTTCAAAAACAAGGGCAACAACTCATACTAAATATTTTTCGATTCTTCTGATTTTCAATAGGGTTCATCCTTGGGTAATTATGAACACTCACACCAAGTTTCGTCAAAATCTGTCAAGAATTGTGCCTTCTAGAGTGTTTACGAGCTAAAAATTGAACGCGTTTTCAAGAACAAGGGCAATTACTCATACTAAATATTTTTCGATTCTTCTGATTTTCAATAGGGTTTATCCTTGGTTGATAGCAAACACTCATGCCAAGTTTCATCAAAATCCATCAAGAATTGTCCCTTCCAGAGTGTTTACAAGCTCAAAATTGAACGCGTTTTCAAGAACAAGGGCAATAACTCATACTAAATATTTTTCGATTCTTCTGATTTTCAATAGGGTTCATCCTTGGGTGATTATGAACACTCATGCCAAGTTTCGTTAAAATCCGTCAAGAATTGTCTCCTCTAGAGTGTTTACGAGCTAAAAATTGAACGCGTTTTCAAGAACAAGGGCAATAACTTATACTTAATATTTTTCGATTCTAAAAATATTTAGTTTAAGATATTGCCCTTGTTCTTGAAAACCTGTTCATAAACACTCTAGAAGGGACAATTCTTAAAGGATTTTGACGAAACTCAACATGAATGTTTGTTATCACCCAAGGATAAACCCTATTGAAAATTAGAAAAATCGAAAAATATTAAGTTTGAGTTATTGACCTTGTTCCTGGAAACGTGTTCAATTTTTAGCAAGTAAACACTCTAGAAGGCACAATTCTTGAAGGATTTTAACGACACTTTGCATGAGTGTTTGTTATCAACCAAGGATAAAGCATATTGAAAATCAGAAGTATCGAAAAATATCTACTATGAGTTATTGCCCTTGTTCCTGAAAACGCGCTCAATTTTTAGCTCGTAAAAACTCTAGAAGGCACAATTCTTAAAAGATTTTGACAAAACTTGGTGTGAGTGTGGTGTGAGTGTTTGTAATAATAATAATAATAAAATCTTTATTAGAGTGAAAATTAGGCCTGGGCTTTTTACAATTTTACCCTTCAAAGGAACACAACATATAATACAAAAGGAACCAAAAACAACAAAACTACAATCACAAAAGCAGTAGAACTTTTTTTACAGTTATATACATTGATCATTCATTTGATTTTGTTGTTCTATTTTTATACGCCCACATGAAATGGGGGGCATTTATTGCCGTCACCTCCGTCCGTTGGTCTGTCCGTCGGTCCGTTCACAATTGCTCATAAACACTCTACAAGACACAATTCTTGACTGATTTCGACGAAACTTATTATGGTTGTTTGTAATTACCCAAGGATGAACCCTATTGAAAATCAGACGAATTGAAAAATATTTACTATGAGTTATTGCCCTTGTTCTTGAAACGCTCGTAAACACTCTAGAAGGTGCAATTCATGACAGATTTTGATGAAACTTGGCATGAGTGTTCGTTATCGCCCAAGGACAAACCCTATCGAAAATCAGAAAAATTGAAAAATATTTAGTATGAGTTATTGCCCTTGTTCTTGAAAACACATTCAATTTTAGCTTGTAAACACTCTAGAAGGTGCAATTCATGACGAATTTGATGAAACTTAAGTATGAGTGTTCGTAATCGCCCAAGGATAAACCCTATCGAAAATCAGAAAAATTGAAATATATTTAGTATGAGTTATTGCCCTTGTTCTTGAAAACGCGTTCAATTTTAGCTTGTAAACACTCTAGAAGGCACAATTCTTGACGGATATTGACGAAACTTGGCAGGAGTGTTGGTTATCACCCATGGATAAACCGTATTGAAAAACAGAAAAATTTAAAAATATTTAGTATGAGTTATTGCCCTCGTTCTTGGAAATGTGTTCAAATTTTAGCTTGTAAACACTCTAGAAGGGACAATTCTTGACGGATTTTTACGAAATTTGGCTTGAGTGTTGGTTATCACCCAAGGATAAAGCCTATTGAAAATCGGAAGAATCTAAAAATATTGAGTATGAGTTATTGCCCTTATTCTTGAAAACGCGTTCAATTTTTAGCTTGTAAACACTCTAGAAGGCAAAATTCTTGACAGATTTTAACGAAATTTGGTTTTATTATTCATTACCGCGCTTAAGATTGAATATTTGTCTTCTAGAGTTTTCACGAGCTAAAGATTGAACATGTTTTCAAGAACTAGGGCAATAACTCATACTCAATATTATTCAGTATCTCCCTAAAGAGTTCAAAAGAAGTGTATGACTGAAGGTTGAATACTTCATACTGGTGATTGTTACTGTACTGCTAAATATTTATGATCAAAATCAAAGCTGCCAGTGGGTGTATATTACCTTGCCTGGCAAGCTATCTTTGAAGTCTATTAAGGGCTGCTTAAGAATAATTATTACAAGTATCCCAAATAGTGGAGCAGTAATCAATGTGGGACTGAAAATGAGCGAAATAGAATAATTAAATAAGGTTTGAAGGAAGGAGAGGTTTAATCTTGCGCATTTGAAATAATTTCTGATTTAAAATTTTACAAATATAATTAACATGTTTATTCCAATTAAAATTTTGATCCAGAATAACACCCAATAGTTTAAATGCTGTGACATTTTGAATTTGAGAATTTAATAGTTGATAATTTCCTGGAATTTTTAATTGATGATTTGAGCCAATTAACATAGTTTTTGTTTTCGATTGATTTATAACCATAGAATTATCATGACACCATTGAACGATTTTATTAGTTTCTGATTGAAGAACAGAGTTTACAGAGCAAATATCTAAAGATGATGAATATATTGTAGTATCATCAGCAAACAAATCACAGTTACACGTAAGATGAAGTGGAAGATCATTTATAAAATGATTGAATAACAAAGGTCCTAAGATAGATCCTTGAGGTACACCAGAAGTTATACATTGATATGTTGATTGGTTTTGTTCAATAAAAGTACACTGGTTTCTGTTAAGGAGGGAGGATTCTAAAAAAGCCAGAAGATTATTCGAAAACTTATTTTTTTTAATTTTTGTAAAAGAATATGATTTACCATGTCAAAACCTTTACGGAAATCGAAAAATATTAATCCAGTAAGCATGCTATTATTGAGTGAATCATAGATATTTTATGTTATATTTGTGAGTGCTGTCTGGCAGGAACTGTTTGTTGTAAAGCCAGATTGTTTTGAATATAAAAGATTATGAGTAGTTAAATAGTTGTTGATATGGAAATGAAAATGTTTTTCAAGTGGTTTAGAGCCAGCTTGTAGAATTGATATGGGTCTGTAATTGCTTGCCAAACATTTATTACCAGATTTATAAATTGGCAATACTTTCGCCTGCTTCAAGATATCTGGGAAAATATTCTTATCAATACACAGGTTAAATATAAAAGTGAGAAAATAGCTCATAGCACTAGCACCAACGTTCAGAAAATAAGCATTAACACCATCAAGACCAACAGCTTTTGATGTGTCTAAATTAGAAAGACATCAGTAATATTCATAAAAGGTATATGACAAATGTTTCTAAGTATTTCCTTTTTATACGCCCACATGAAATGGGGGGCATATACTATCGTCACCTCATTCCGTCGGTCCACAATTGCTCGTAAACAATCTACAAGGCACAATTCTTGACTGATTTCAATGAAACTTGGTATGGTTGTTTGTAATAAACCCAAAGGTGAACCCTATTGAAAATCAGACGAATCGAAAAATATTTACTATGAGTTATTGCCCTTGTTCTTGAAACACTCGTAAACACTCAAGAAGGTGCAATTGATGACAGATTTTGATGAAACTTGGTATGAGTGTTCGTTATCGCCCAAGGATAAACCCTATCGAAAATCAAAAAAATTGAAAAATATTTCGTATGAGTTATTGCCCTTGTTCTTGAAAACGCGTTCAATTTTAGCTTGTAAACTCTCTAGAAGGCATAATTCTTGATGGATTTTGCTGAAACTTGATGTGAGTGTTTGTGATCACCCAAGGATAAACCCTATCGAAAATCAGAAGAATCGAAAAATATTTAATATTAATTATTGCCCTTGTTCTTGAAAACACGTTCAAGTTTTAGTTTATTAACACTCTAGAAGGGACAATTCTTGACGGATTTTGACGAATCTTTGCATGAGTGTTGGTTATCACCCATGGATAAACCGTATTGAAATATTTAGTATGAGTTATTGCCCTTGTTCTTGAAAACGCGTTAAAATTTTAGCTTGTAAACACTATAGAAGGAACAATTCTTGACGGATTTTGACAAAACTTGGCATGAGTGTGTTATCACCCAAGGATAAACCCTATTGAAAATCGAAAAAATCGAAAAATATTTCGTATGAGTTATTTCCCTTGCTATTGAAAATGCGTTCAATTTTTAGCACGTAATCACTTTGATGAAACTTGGTGTGAATGTTTGTAATCACCCAAGAAAGAACCCTATTGAAAATCAGAAGAATTGAAAAATATTTAGTTTGAGTTATTGCCCTTGTTCTTGATACCGCTTTTAAATTTAGCTCTTAAACACTAAAAGGCATAATTCTTTCTGGATTTTGACAAAACTTGGTTTTATTATTCAGTCCTGAAGATTGAATATTTGCCTTCTGGAGTTTTCACGAGCTAAAGATTGAACACGTTTTCAAGAACTAGGGCAATAACTCATACTCAATATTATTCAGTGTTGTGCTAAAGAGTTCAAAAGAAGTGTATGACTGAAGGTTGAATATTTCATACTGGTGATTGTTACTGTACTGCTAAATATTTATGTTCTAAATCAAAGCTGCCAGTGGGCGTATTTTACCTTGCCTGGCAAGCTATCTTTTGGAATATAGATAAAATATCTGATACTTGAAAATTTGCGAATATCGAAATATTGTCGCTTCATTTTTTCAGCCGAAATTTTCAATTTTTTACATTTTTTTTTTGTGCTAACGTGGATTACTAAAGTAAACAAAATGCAACAGTCAAAGACTAGACCAGTGAATTTTCAATGTGAAGAATTACGCTAATTATGCGTGAAACTATATCTAAACCCTTTATATAGTTTCTATAAATTTACCTGGCCACAGAGGAATCATTTAAAACATCAAATTTGAAGTTTCCTATTACAATTGATACGAGGCCGGTGTTTTCTCGTGAACGGTTTCTTAGCGTCTTGGAAAAGGAAAACAAGGCTACGGACATGCGCAGGTTTTGTTTACAAATTATTCATCAGAAATATAAAAATTAACTTTGTTTGTGTACTGTACAGGTTGTTAAATGTAAATTATGGATTATTATCATTAAAGCAAAAATCACAAAATCACAATAATGAGAAATAAAATTAATGAAGTTGATCGCTACTTTTATTTTCTACCACAACTTCCGGTTGGAAATATGTGTAGTTATCGCTGATTGGTTCAATTGGTCTAATCAAAATTGAGTTCTCATAATCATAGATATCTAAAAACAACATGCTCATAATTGGGTAGTCGCTATTTTCCAGAACAGTAAAAGTGGAGGCCGCAGGATTTAAAATGCTTAAATAACTGTATAAGAATTATTTTATCGATTGTGACCTAAATCTTGGATTTTTCACGTTGAAACTTTCACAAAAGGTAAGGGACATCTTCCTCTAAATTTAAAACAAATTCAGTTCTTCCCCAAAAAGTTCAAAAGAAATGTATGACTGAAGGTTGAATATTTCTTACTGGTGATTCTTACTCTACTGCCAAATATTTCTATTTAAAATCGAACTTGGTGTGAGTGTATGTAATCACCCAAAGATGAACCCTAACTAAAATCAGAAAAATCGAAAAATATTATTGCCCTTGTTCTTAAAAACACGTTCAAATGAACACTTTAGAAGGCCGAATTCTTGAAAGATTTTGATGAAATTGGTAATATTATCCAGTATCGCCTCAATAAGTTCAAAAGAAGTGTAGGACTGAAGGTTGAATATTTCATACTGGTAATAGTTACTGTACTGCCAAATATTTTCATTTAAAATCAAAGCTGCCAGTGGGCATATATTACCTTACTTGGCAAGCTATCTTTTAATTCAAAATTGAAAAAATAAATGATGTCGCATACGATCCACCGTAATCTACAGTACATAGAAGACATGTTCATCACCGAAACCTGTGATATAGAAAGATTGAAACTCAAATTCACAATGGAATACTCCAGAACTTTCACTGTCACATTCCTTGACAGTTGGGTCATTTACAGCAAAGACCTAAACACCTGGAATTCGACTTATTTTGTAAACCAACCGATACACACAGCAATCGAATAGCCAGAATATAGTAAACATTTTAACAAACACGCCCTTGGCCCGGATTGTTTCCTGGTTCACATCATCAGAATCATAAACCATGATGCTGATTTGGATACAACCACCAAAGAAAGATGTAGAACAGAACTACATTGGATCCACGAGTTCAAAGCTATCAATAATTCATCCAGCTCTCTACCATTTAGCAGTTACTTATATTACTCACAGGGCAATAACCCTGGAAGTGGCATAAATATCTTTTATTTATTCAAATTCTAGTAATAAATTGTTGAGGTTTTTGTTTTTCGTTTTTGTTCCATATTTTTGTACCAATCTGTATGTTTACAAATATAATATCCATGAAAATGCCATTAAATTCCAATAACATTATCCTTGGGCGTATGTTTCCTTGTCTGGCATGCTATCTTATCATATTTTTCAAAAGCTATATTTGTTTCAATTTTATTCAGGATCTGAAGGCTATCAGTGAATTAGAACAGAGAGGATTAGGAACATTGGAATCTCGTACTGTAACAATATGTAGTGGCTTAGATTTAGTTAATATTACCTATACACCTATGATTGCTCGAGATGCTGATACAGCAAAGGTTTGACAATTTTGTTTGTTTGTTAAAAGTTCTGAATTCTGAAAAAGCATGTTATAAGCACACATTACAATGTATATGAATATTGTAATCCTTCTCCATACCTCCATATTATGTTCACTTTTCATTGGCCACCTGGAATGAATTTTTGAAACGATCATACACAGGGTGCCGAGGAGGTTGGTTACATTAAGTAGTATGGGGTACATGCATTTACTCTCAGATTACAGTGAGCTCAAAAATGAAATTTACCTGCAACACATTTATGACAGTTTTGTTTTGCATATGACTATTTTTTTTTCTCTTCACCCCGGGATCTCAGTTCTCAGAAACAGCAACAGGTATGGTAAAACGACTTTCACCACATTTTCACAGCTAACTACGTACTAAATGGAAAACAAAATTTTTTTGAGCAACATGAAGCGACATAGGCTCTAGTTGGCGAGCGATCGATTTTGCTCAGGTTTCCTTTATTGCACTTCTTGTAACATGATGGCAGTTGAAAAAATTTTATTTTCTCAAATTAGTTTGATGCTTTTTTTTTCTAAAAATTAATCTAAATATGCTATTTTGGTCGCTATTTGTCGGACAGATTTGAAGCTGTAAACAGCCAGCAAGGGTTCTTTAATAAAAACATTCTTTATTGTGTTCACAAGCCAATTGTGGACGGACGGACGGACAGAGGTGACGATAATATACAACCACATTATAATACAATATAAAAAATGCATGCCCAAAATTATACCTGATAGTTTGAATCATCTCTCCTTTTGTTTCTTTTTTCATCATCTGATAAATTCAGTTGTGTAAGCTTTACATCCTTAATCCGTTTGGGCGGAATAGAATACAAATCGTCAACCAAACCAACATCAAGTTCCTTACAACATGTATTCCATCGAGCCTAATCACCAAAGCTGTTGATTCATTTTTTTCACGCCCTGTGTTACTGATCTCAATTTCCCCCTGAGTGAAAGTCTTTTATATATCGGTACCGGAAGTAACATAATGTTTGGCAAAAGAGAGGTCAACTGTGCCGTTTTACCCGCTTCTACCTTATCACTCATAAGTACCCTGCTAGGATATCAAAATTAATCAATTGTTATAATGTTGGGTCAGTAGTATATGAGCTTTGATATTGGAGGAATTCAGACGTAAAAGCTCCATTATAATACACGTTTTATGTCCACACCCAATATCCATCATAATATGAAAAAAAAACCACATATCTACTTACATTTCACCATCACCTTCAAAATCATATATGAAATCCTTCCCACCAATCCTATCAGAAAAGTCAAATCACATATGAAGTTTAATCCAAACAAAATTGTCAAGTGTTATTTTCTTCGAAAGGACTTTTAATAGGTCAGTGAACAATAGTCTATTCATATCTTTTGAATTGAGCAATAAAAAAAGCGATTGTCGGTCTAATTCATAGAATTGACTATAATTGTAACAATATCTGGTTTGTAAAGAGTATGGTTGTTGAACAGCTTAATCAAAACCATTTAAAACTAGAACCACTCGTGGTACTGAGTGGGACTTTGCTCATGTGCCAATTTGCTAGAGAATCTGAAAAAATCAATGTTTTTAGCAGATTAGGTTACATGCTAAAGCAGTCAAATTTTTGAAATTTTCTCTCTTTTGGAAGGTTGTGAAAGCGGAAATGGAAGTCAGACATAAAATATGAAAGTATGATTAGATTGCCAAGGTCAATGACCCTTGACCATGTTAAGGGGAAGGTCATTTAAGGTCAAGGTCACTAGATATGAGTCATCAAACTTTGAAAATACAAAGATTATAAAACCGGAAGTTGACGTTGAACATCAAATATGAAGGTGTTAATCTATAGTCAAGGTCAATGACCTTTGAGCCTACAAAGGTAAATGTCAAAAGTTGTTCCTTTTTTTGAACTATGAAGCTGAAACAACAGACCTTATTACACAAACTGGCCAAAAGGATGAGGTAATTGTGTGCACGGTCCTGTTTTGAACAACTGTATTCTATGCAAGTTATATCTAATTTAACTCTAATGTGCCATGCTCACCTCAACTGTTTTGTCATAAGTTAATTCTTATTTAAAATGTCTCGTCGTGTTCTGAATTCCAAGCTTCTACACCAAATAGGTCATAAAGTATTCATACACCCAGCTCAAAGAAGCGAAAATATTGTTAAAAAACACAGAAATTTCAAAAATTCGGAAATTTCAATTTTGTCTTATATGTCACTAGAAAGAGCATGATAAGCACATTCAGAATCCACAATAATTAACCCTCTGAGTTAACTAGGTCACCAGCTTGAGCAGTCAAAATTTGCGAATTTGGCTGTTTTTGGACAGCTATAAAACCGGAAGTAGATGTCAGAGGTCAAACATGAAAGCATCAACTAATAGCCAAGGTCAATGACCTTTGACTCAATAAAGGACAAGGTCATCAAAGGTCAAGGTCAAAAATTGAAAATATTGAATTTCCAAAACCGTTCCTTTTTTTGAATTATGAGGCAGAAACAACCAAACTTCTAAGACAAAGTGGCTCAAAGGATGAGGTAATTGTATGCAAAGTTCCATTTCGAACAAATGTATTCTTTGCGAGTTAGGCCCCTGGCCAAAAATGTCAATAATAAGTAATATAACCCGGATGTGCCACGCCCACCTAATTTTGTTTGGCATAAGTTAATTGATATTCTAAATGTTATGTTGTGTTCCAAATTTCAACTTTCTACATCTTACGGGTCAAAAGATATATGTCAACAAAAGTCAACAAAGGTCAAAATCTAAAAATTAAAATATCCAAATGTTAAAACCCGTTCCTTTTTTGGAACTATAAAGCTGAAGCAACTGAGCTGTTAACACAAACTGGCCAAAAGGATGAGGTTCTACATCAAATAGGTCATAAGATATACATACACCAAGCTCAAAGAGCCACATATATTGTAAAAAAACACTCAATGGGGACTACTTTAAGGACACGACTGATTTTGTCAATAAAATCAAAATCTTTGACTTCCTTCAAATTGTTAATATGATTTCTATTGATGTGTCTTAAATGTATACCAATATCTATAACACTGCTGGTTTAACGGCAGTTCGTAAGCTTTTAATAGAAACCCATATTCAAATAGAACCGACGAGGGAATTCTACAGCTTTTAGATATTTGTTTCAGTCGCAGTGATGGTAAAACATATCTACAAACTTCAGGGACAGCTATGGGCAAACAATTTCCCCCTTCGTACGCAAAGCTTTTCATGGCAGAGTGGAAATGTGAGGTATTACCCTTTGCCCAGTTGACCCACTTATTTACAGACGCGATCGGACAGTTTTGGGAATTCTTTGAAATCCTCAACAACCACCATCCATCTATCAAACTAACCACCTATGTCATTCACAAAAGAGACTTTCTCAATACCTTCAAAGGAGATTTCATAGCAGAGACGAATAAACTGGATATTAAGGTGTATGTCAAAGGAAACTGATACTCATCAACTCTACACTAGAGCTCATTTCACACAAAACCTTTTTCTGGTATAATTAAGTCACAAGTTTTACGATTCCAGCGGATTTGCAAAAGTTCTTCTGAAGTCTGTACTATTGTTTTCTCAAAACTATAAGAGCATGGGTACTCTTTTTTAGATTTTTACGAAAAAAAAAAAAAGCAAAAAACAGACTTTATGCTGAAGTACCTCCACGTTTAAGGAGTGCTCCACGTTTAAGGAGTGCTCCATGCATCTAACATGTGAAAACTCTAATGTTCCAAACAATATGTAGGAGAAACAAGCCTGTTTCAGATCATAACAGAAGAAAACTCAGAATCCAGTTCCTTGATCCAAATTTCTCAATAAAGTATTTGTTCCACGCTTGGCATTTGAACATTCGGGAGAATCAAACCGTCACTTCTCCAAAATCAAACAAATACGAAGGATGGAAAAACTCAATATTATAGATAAGCTGACACAGCCTACTGAGTGGATGAATAGCTATGTGGTTGTTGAAAAAGCAATTGGAAGACATCATTATCAATTGCCTACTCCAGAAGAGATATTTGCTACGAAGTCTGGAGCCCAATTCTTCAATAAATTAGATGCTTCCAGTCGGTTTAAACTGAACTAAAAAGAGTACTAACTATTTAGTAATCAATTCTCCATTTGGCAGGCTCAAGTTCCTAAGACTCCTTTCAGGATTCTATCTGTGCCGAAGATCATCCATGCAAATGTTGTGGAAATTATAGAATGTTTAGCTGGAACTGCAAATGTCCAAGATGATATCATAGTTCGCTTGAGAGAGAATTAGAAACTTAAACTTAAACTCAATCGCAAGAAATGTGTAACTGGAATTCTCAAAAATACTATCTTATCAGGGTAAACACTCAAAATGACTGTGCTCTGCAAAAATTGTAAACTAAATCGTTGGACAAAAATATTTTACTAGAGGAAATTACCCATATTTTATTAAAAGGAAATTCTCTTATTGTTCTTGTGTGACGATAAAGCATATGCACGAACAAATACATCAAGGTCATCTAGGAATTGAACGCTGTCAAAACTGTTTATATTGGTCAGGAATATCTGCTGATTTTGAAGATGCTCTGTAAAAATCTTTAAACATTTTGTAAAAACGTATCAGTTTGATCATGTGGCAATCGAGTCCAAATTATCCTTAAAGTAATGGCCTTGCTGAGGTCAGAGTGTCAAAATGTTATTTAAAGAGCCTATTGCTAATGCTGACGATCCATGTCTAGCTTTATTAGCCCATAGTACAACACCTTTTAACTGGTCGTCGATCTCCAGGTGATAAACTTGTTAATGGACATGTGCGATCACTGTTCCCTAAATATAATTGTAATCAATCAAGTTATGATAAGAAAATTCTTCACAAGGGTACAATTTATCTTCCAAAAATCTTTCCAAATTAGAAAACGGTTATATTTAGGTTTGAAATTAGATTATGGAAATGACAATCCTAAAGTAAATGGTCATTGCCGATTTTAAAAAAAAAAACATTTGATTGAAGGACTTTATGAATAACATTTGAAAAATATTACTTCCTTATGTTTCTGAGCATGTGTCTTCAAGTTTTAATTTTTATACGCCCACATAATATAGCCGTCGCCTCTGTCTGTCTGTCTGTCTGTCCGTCCACCCACAATTGTTTGTGGACACAATAGAGAGCTGGTTTCTTGAAGGTTGAAATCAGTTTATATTGATAAGATCTTGGTCCGAACCTGAAGATTTTTCGATGAACCGTTTTCAAGTTATTGCTGCTGTCTTAGTCAAAACGCGTCTAAATTTGTTTATGAGGGCACTAACAATAGTGATCTAATTTAAATGAAATTGGCCCGATCATATATATTGATGAGATCTTGAATAACTTCAAACTTTAATATTCTTTGATGGACAAATTACTGCCCTTGATTTAGAAAAAACTTTGTCAAAATTTTTTTTGTGAGCACCTTAGAGACTACAGTATTCATCGGATTTTAATGAAATTTGGTGTTCACATTTATATTGATGAGATTTTGAATTTGATGATATATCAATGAATGACTCTTGAGTTGAAGTCAAAAGCGTCTGAAATTGTGAGATAAAAGTTTTCATTCGATTTAAATGAAATTTAGTGTGATCACATATATTGATGAAGTGTTAGAAAGTTCGAATTTGAAGATTTTTTGAGGAATGGAATTTGAGTTATTGCCTTGTCTTAGTCAAAACGCGTCAGAATTTGTCATCTGATTTATATCAACGAGATTTTGGATAATTTTGAATTGGCCGATTTATCAGTGAACCTTAGTTATTGCACTTGACTTAAAACACATCAAAATTTGTTTATGAACACAATAGAAACTGCAATTTTAAATAACTTAGTGTGGTCATGAGTAAGGAGTTGATTACTTTGAGCATTGAATGGAAACTTGATAGTTTTATGCTTCTCTGAATCTAAAAAATTAGTCAAAGTTGCTGTGGTGGTGTATGTTTACCTGAAATGGCAATATATCTTTTTTGTTGTTTTATGCAGGTATGGGTGGAAGGATTAAGAAGTATAACATTGAACATCAAAGCCAATAATGTTTGTCCAATGACTCAACTTAAAAAACAGTAAGTATTTTTCATGAAAATTACAAACTCAAAAGTAACACAGGAAAATAGAAAACTGACGAGATTCTATGTATTTCAATCAAGCTGTGCAACAGAGTCAATCTTTAATTAGGCAGCCCTCACGTGACCTAGTAATGTCATAGAAGACCAACTGGATTTTTGGGAAAAGGATCACGATTACGAAATGGCTATCATTTGACTCATAGATATTAAACATTTACTCTCGATTTTGCCATGCTTAAAGGCTAGCGCACACGAGATCTCCCAGCTGAGCAAAATTTCATTCGTGCCTCTCAGCTCAGCTCATAGCTCTCGTGTGCGCAAAGTTTACGTGAGGTTTTTTTCATTCGAGGCGTTAAGGAAATTATCTGTCGTGTTTGATAATTTTTTCCTCGAATGAAAAATACCTTACCGTGTACGCACTCTAAAGCTCTTACCTTTCAACTTTGAACTGATCAAACAAAAATGGCTGCGCCCATCGGTGAATGCGAGTTTGTATCTAAAGCAATTATCGAATACAAGTTGGTGGACGTATGGCCGGAATATCCATGCCTGTACGATGTACGGATCCCCCAATTTAAAAACAGAGATAGCAGAGAGAAGGCAATTGAGTAAATTGCCCGAAAAATTAATCAGTCGCTTAAGTACCCCATGTGTTAGACTAATTGTGAATCATCGCCATTGACGTATGCATAGCTTACGAGAACTTACAAATATTCTTCGTCATCAGCGACGACGCAACAACAAAAGAAGAAGTAATATTTCTTCATATTCTGAATCATTCGAAGGGTTGTCTAATTCTAATTCTTCTAATTCTAGAAATAGTGCCTGATATTTCAATTTAAGGTACCCAAAATAATCGAAAATAATGTCAATGTGAAATGATGTTTGAAAACAAGAAAGCAAGTATGATCCCAGCCCTCTAAATTAAATGGTACCAGTAGGTCTAGATCATACATGTAATACTAATACCATATTAAAAAATCAGTAGGCCTATGTTCTGAAAGCATTATTTAGTAAATAATATGTACTGACAATGTTACTTTTTCCAAAGGTGCAATTCATGACATATAGAATATCTCCAGTCTGATCATTAAATAATTTTCCTGCAACACCTTCACGAAGTATTGAACCCTTGAAAATTTTCAAGTTAGTATGTTGAATTTTCAAGTTGGTAACTTGAATTTTCAAGTAAATATCTTTAAAATTCAAGATACTAACTTGAAAATTCAAGATACTAACTTGAAAATTCAAGTTACTAACTTGAAAATTCAAGATACTAACTTGAAAATTCAACTTAATAAATTCAAGATACTAACTTGAATATTCAAGATACTAACTTGAAAATTCAAGATACCAACTTGAAAATTCAAGATACTAACTTGAAAATTCAAGTAACTAACTTGAAAATTCGAGTTACTAACTTGAAAATTCAAAAAAAAAAAAAAATGAATGGCCCTAATACGCTTCCGTAAATAAATGAATGTTTACAGGTTACAGTAAAATTTCAAAATGATTTTATGAAACATAGTTTGAGTTTACATAAGAATTAGACATCCACTTAGTTCGTTTTATTATACGCCCACATGAATATGTGGTCGTATATTGCCGTCGCCCTGGTCCATCGGTCCGTCCGTCAACATTTCTTGTGAGCACTATAGAAACTACAGTTTTTATGTGATTTTGATAAAACTTGGTGTGAAGCTTTAGATTGATAAGATCTCGGTCAAGTTTGAATTTGACATCTTTTCGATGAACGGTTTTTGAGATATTGCCCTCGACTTAGAACGCCTTGAAATTTGTTAAAAATTGTTCGTGAGCAGGATTGAAGCTACAGTTTTCAACCGATTCTGATGAAACTTGGTGTGATCATTGGAATCGATAAGATCTCGGACAAGTTTTAACTTGACGCATTTTCGATGAACGGTTTTTGAGTTATTGCCCTTGACTTTGTTAAAATGCGTCGAAATTTGTTAAAAGCAGGATTGAAGCTATAGTTTTCAACCGATTCTGATGAAACTTGGTGTGATCATTGGAATTGATAAGATCTCGGACAAGTTCTAACTTGACGCATTTTCGATGAAAGGTTTTTGAGTTTTTGCTTTTGACTTTGTAAAAACATGTCAAAATTTGTTAAAAGTAGTTCGTGAGGAGGATTGAGGCTACAGTTTTCAACCGATTCTGATGAAACTTGGTGTGATCATTGGAATTGATAAGATCTCAGACAAGTTCTAACTTGAAGCATTTTCGATGAACGGTTTTTGAGTTATTGCCCTTGACTTTGTAAAAACGCGTCAAAATTTGCTAAAAATAGTTTTTGAGCAGGATTGAAGCTACAGTTTTCAACCGATTCTGATGAAACTTGGTGTGATCATTGGAATTGATAAGATCTCAGACAAGTTCTAACTTGAAGCATTTTCGATGAACGGTTTTTGAGTTATTGCCCTTGACTTTGTAAAAACGCGTCAAAATTTGTTAAAAATAGTTTGTGAGCAGGATTGAAGCTACAGTTTTCAATCGATTCTAATGAAACTTCGTGTGATCATTGGAATTGATACGATCTCGGACAAGTTCTAACTTGACGCATTTTAGATTAACGGATTTTGAGTTATTGCCCTTGACTTTGTTAAAACGTGTTTAAATTTGTTAAAAATAGTTCGTGAGCAGGATTGAAACTACAGTTTTCAACCGATTCTGATGAAACTTGGTGTGATCATTGGAATTGATAAGATCTCGGACAAGTTCTAACAAGAGATATTTTTGATGAACATTTTTTGAGTTATTGCCTTTGACTTCGTAAACACGCGTCAAAAGTTGTTTTTTGCCCTTGATTAGAGCTGTGTGATTTAATTGTTTGTTGTATTTGGTTTATTGATATTGATTTTAAAAAATTTTATGGAATTATTCAGCATTAATAATTTCTTCAATATGAGAAAATTTGTACTTTAGTCACTAAAGACTGTTTTATCATTTCTGACAGCTGCCAGTGGGCATATGTTACCTTGCATTGCAAGCTATCTTAGTAAAAAAGTAGGGCTACCGTAAATTTTATTGTAAAAGCGAAAGTAGAATCTACCGGATGTTGTTATAAAAAGTGCGTCACATGGGCTTAGAATATACACATTATCAGGTAAAAATAGATCAAATTACCATCTTAATTGGGTGATTAATTAATCAGGCAATGATAATATTATTAAGTGATGAGATTAATGCCTGTTACCGGCAATCAAATATACAAGTAATGATAGATATTTTGTTGATTTATGGTAGAGAATTTGGACATTGAAAACAGTAGGTCCCATGAAAATTTGATCAAGAAAATTAGAGCGGTAGAGCGGTGGACAACATGCAAATGCTGTAGAAACCCGACAACATTGGTAGATTACACGTGTATGATAATAACGTCAACAAAAGGGCAAGATTACGAGATATAAGACATCAAATTTTAAAATTGCTCACTGCTATAAAACTGGAAGTTGACATAGGACAGCAAATAAAAAATATAAATATAAATAGATAGCCAATGCCAATGACATTTGATCCTACAAAAGTCAAGGTCAACAAAGGTCAAGGTCAAATATTGAAAATTTTGAATTTCCAAAACCTGTTCCCTTTTTTGAACTATGAAGCGGAAACAACCGAACTTCTACAACAAAGTGGCTCAAAACATGAGGTAATTGTATGCAAAGTTCAATTTTGAACAAATGTATACTTTGCGAGTTATGCCTCTTGCCAAAAATGTCAATAATGAGTAATTTAACCCGGATGTGCCATGCCTACCTCAATTATTTTTCCATAGGTTAATTGATACTCAAAATGTTATGTTGTGTTTCAAATTTCAAGCTTCTACATCATAAAGGTCAATAGATATAGGTCAACAAAAGTCAACAAAGGTAATTGTGTGCAAAGTCCCTTTTTGAACAAATGTATCCTATGCTAGTTATGCCACTGCCCCTAAATGTAAAAAATTAGTAATTCAACCAGGATGTGCCACGCCGAAATAATTTTTTTTGTCATAGGTGAATTCATATTCAAAGTGTCCAGTTGTATTCCAAATATCAAGGTTCTACATCAAATAGGTCATAAGATATACATACAACAAGCTCAAAGAAACAGAAATATTGTAAAAAAAACTCTCAAATTTGAAAAAATCACGAATTTCAATTTTGCTTTAAAAAACGCTTATTATATATCTGTGTAAAGTGCATAAGACGCACATTAGTAACTGAAAAAAATTAACCCACTAGGTTAATTAGGTCACGTGCTAGAGCAGTCCAAAGTTCAGAATTTTGATTTTTAGGACAGCTATAAAACCGAAAGTACATGTCAGAGGTTAAATGTCAAAGTATCAAATGTGACTATATAAAGGTCAAGGTCATCAAAGGTTAAGGTCACGTGGTTTGGGTGTTTTAAGTTTGAAAAAAATTCGACTGGAAGTTGCAAAAAAGAAAAAGCGAAATTTAAAATTTACAGGAAGTAAAATTAAATATATGACAACTACATATCATTTACAAATTTTTGAATTTCGTAATTCTGCATGTGCTATCAGATCAGAAATTACAGACACATTCTAAAAATGAAAATCTGCAGGAAGATGCAAAAATGGGGCTGTTAGAGCCGATTTTGAACTGTGGCACTTCCGGTTTTGCAAAAATGTTCCAAAATATATTCATTAGCAACATTGCCACTACAGAAGGTCTAGAGAAGTTGAAATGTTGCTGCAACTAATGGAGTCTATGCTCAGGAAGGTGTGTAAAAAAACGAAAAAAAAAAAAAAAAAAAAAAAAAGGGACATTTCGATAACAATGTCCCACAAAAACATTTCTCAGTTTTCTGTCATGTTACTGGTAGTCCAAATTATCCAGACATTCACAGAATTTAATAGAGCAAAGGCTGGTATGTCATGTTAAACAAGTCTCTAGTGTCAGTCAGGATAATAAAAATTTTGTGGGGTTCCATAGCACAGTCAGTGACTGTTGGTTCTTCATTTTTATATGCCC